AGGCCCGAAACGTCAGTTTTCCTGCTCCTCTGATGCTGCTTGGCCTGCTGTGTTCATCCAGCTCTACACCTTGTTATCCCTGGATTAAAATGTAGATTGGTGGGTTCGTAAGTTTGCAGATGATACAAAGATCGATGGAGTTGTGGATAGTGCAGAAGGTTGTCAAAGGATACAGCGGGATACACATCAGTTACAGATGTGGGTGGAGAAATGGCAGATGGAGTTTAACATCTGTGTGAGTGCTGCACTTTGGGAGATCAAATGTTAAGGAAATGTATGCAGTTAATGGCAGGACCTTGAACAGCATTGATATACGGAGGGATCTTGGGTTCATGTCCGTAGCTCCCTGAAAGTGGCCACGCAAATAAATAGGATGGTAAAGAAGGCATAATGCATGCTTGCCTTTATTGTTCGGGGAATTGAGTCAGGATGTAATGTTGCAGCTTTATAAGGCTTTGGTGAGGCCACACTTAGAGTATTATGTTCAATTGTGGTCGCCACATTACAGGAAGGATATGGGGGCTTTGGAGAGGGTGCAGAAAAGTTTTACCAGGATGCTGCCTGAATTCGGAAGGTATGAGCTATAAGGAGAGGCATGAAAAGCTTGGGGTGTTTTCTCTGGAGCGGCGGAGCTCAGGGGAAACTTGATAGAAGTCTATAAAATTATGAGATGCATAGGTAGAGTTGACAGTCAAAATCTTGTTCCCAGAGTTGAAATGTCTAATACTAGGGGGCATACATTTAAGGTGAGAAGGGGAAAGTTCAAAGGAGACGTGAGGGGCAAGTTTTTTTACACAGACAGTGGTAGGAGTCTGGAACATGCTGCCAGGGGTGGTAGTGAAGGCAGATACAATAGAGGTGTTTAAAGGACTTTTAGAAAGCACATGGATATGCAAAGAATGGAGGGATATGAACCAAGGGCAGACAGAAGGGAGTAGTTCAATTTGGCATCATGTTTGGCACAACATCGTGGGCCGAAGGGCCCCTTCCTGTGCTGCATTGTTCTGTGTTCCCCTCTCCAACATACTAGTCCAAATGTAAGTCAAAATGTCAGTCTATTGAATTGAACTAACATCATTTGGGACAGAACAGCGTCACATTTCTCTCTGGTCTGAAGAGAGACCCCAAATATTAACTCTAATTTCTCTCCACAGATCTGCCAGACCTGCTGCGTTTTTCCTGCAATTTCTGTTTTTATTTCTTATTTCCAGCATCCATGGTTCTTTGTTTTTGTTTATCACATTTTTCGTTCTGTTTATATACCATATGTGCCTGTTGTTAGAGTCAGCAGAGACCTAAATTGTACCCTTAATCTGTTATTCAAAGGACTAATGTCAAAATTCCAGGCTCCCAAGATGACATGAGCTCTCAGGACATTCAGAGAATCAGGACTACAGTGTTATAGTCTCATTAACAAAATTTTACACTGAAAGTACAACTTCACTAATGCAGCTCAGTTTTGTAGAATTGATTTTGGTTGAAAAAAAATCATTAATAGCATCCAGCCTATCTTTTTGGTTGTGATAAAATATTGAGATTTCATGGTTCATGTATTCAAAGAGAATTTTACAACTAATATTGCAGTGTCAAAACAAGAGCCACCTTTGGCTGAATCATACTATATTTTGGCAAAGTGTCATTTTCATTGAGTTTCATGAAAGGTTTTTCCCCGGGAGGCTTAGTAAGTTTTCTCACTCTATCGTCCCAAACTCTCCTCAAATGCTAAATAAAAACTGGAATAACTGCAGATGCTGGAAATCGGAAACAAAACCAGAAATTGCTGGAAAATCTCAGCAGGACTTGTAATATCTGTGGAGAGAAATTAGAGTTAACGTTTTGGGTCGAGTGACCCTTTACTACCTGTATGTCCCTATGATGCCCCATTACACCCAATGCTAATTAATTCTCCCACCATAACCTGAGGTGCTCATCATTGCCAGGATAGCCCAGGCTCTCTGGTGCTGGCACCATCTTTAAAAGGCCATCGTATATCTGATCAAGCTCTGTCAGTTGGAGCTGCCCTGTTCGGTTCGTGACATTTGCCCCAGATATGGCAGATAAGGTGAAATTGACACCCTGCTTTGTGGAAAGGGACCTGAAAGTCCTGGTGGATGGGCTGGTGTGCTGCTGTCTCAGATGTCTGGAGAAATGCCCAACAGTGTAGGTTGAAGGTCAGTGACCTTCTCCATTCTATCAGGGTAAGTGCCACCACCTTCTTATTTACTGTGTCCCTGATACTGCACACCTCACACCAAGGGCTCATGCTTTATTACTTTTGCCATAACATGCAACATCTTCCCTCACTTGCATTTACCCACCAATTTCCCACGCCACTAACCCTGCATGGCCTCTGCACTACCTACTCACTTACTTAGGACATCAGACCATGTTTTCCCCCATCTGTACCAGCACTAACAGCAATGCCACCCACTTTCATCTTATTCAATCCCTCCCTTTCTTTCATTCCAGGAGTAAACAGCTCACAATAGGGCAGAAAGAATCAAGATAGATGGTGGGGTGTCAAACTTTCGACTCCTCATCTCTTACAAAGAAAGGAGCCTGAACCCTGACTGGCTGAATGATCGTGCCCAAACCCTTGGACTGATGCCAGAGGCTGCCCTGCCAGGATCCCTTGATTGAGAATTGAGCTTCTTGGCTTGACTGAGTAACTCTCCTTCAACTGGAGACATGGCATTTACTTGGAACTTATACCAAGTGTTTGCCCATACACTGATGGCACATGGCGCAGGTGTGAAATTAACATAGCATGACGCTGTACAGCATCATGTCTTCCTATTTGACTCTGTGACTTCTGAGCACATAACAAGCTTCTTGGCTTTGTGTCTGCTAGCGGTACCTTGCCTGTTGGCTCCAGCTGCGGGGGCAAAGCAAGGCAGGGATGCTGTTGGAATCCAGGTGCTCAGTGATTGAGCACTAAGAAAACATATGAGCAGGCCTGAGATGCAGCAAGGGTCTAGTCCATAACCTGGATGCCCACGGAGCATGCCCTGAGATATCAGTGCTATTGTTCAAGATGGTGGTCCAGAGGATCAAGCGATGAGCTGGAGTCACCAGGCACCCACTCAGACTATCATGTCAGGAATTTTTGGTGTCTTAATTCTATCTGGTGGATGGTCAAATCTGCATATTAATGAGGTGATATTAAATAATAATGTGATAATCACTGTTAGCAGGCCTCTTCTGCTCACTAGAGAGAATCTTGTCTTTATTTCTAGAACTTAGTTGGAAAATGCAACTCGTTGCTCAAGAAAGGCCCCACTCAACTTCTCAAGTGATTTTCCCAAATTCCCACTATAGTCTGTGTCATTTAAACCCTAAGAAGATTCTGTTCATAGTTTTATTTTCTGTTGACTTCTGCATGTGGACATGTGAATGTTGGGTTCCTTTTGACCTCTGCAAATCCTGATTCAGCCCATCAAGAATGTACTATCCAGAATCTATTTCTGAGTGTTATAGCAGTAGATTCCCTCTTCTCAACCACTGATTCCCAATTTGAAGTGACACTTAATTCCTTGCAAACATGAAAAGGTATAGGATCACATGAGACCTGTAGTCTATTTTGTATTCAGAAAGCATTTGACACTGTTCCCATGTGAGGTTGGTGGGGACATTTAAGACTCATAGGACTTATTTTAATCCTGGTGGGAGTGGATGGCGTTCATACATTACATTCTTCAACAGTGGCTTTGCAGCATTGAACTGTTGATTCTGATTTGAATGCCACCATTTAGTCGTTCACCTGATTGCAGAGAATAGCAGCAGGTCACTGGCAGCAGTGGGTGGATACTTGGGTAAACTACTATTGACTTTTCCTCCAAACTTGTGTTACTGATTCTCAATGTTTCCAATTCATAAATTATTCCATGAGCCTTAAACTGTCCCTCAAACCTTGCATTAGAACCTCAGTCAAATATCTCGGAACAACAACATAAACCACATCTCCTCCATATCCCTCACCCACGAACTTAGTTACCCCTCAAAGCAATATAGTATGTTGATAAAGCATTATCTAGTTATTTATATTTGCTTACTGTGATAGTTTTATATATTCATCTGCTGTTAAGTCTTGAATGTGTTCGTTAATTAATCAGGTTTGTATTTGACTTACTTCCACTGAGACAAACATCAAGTTGAAGGATACCCATCTTTCTTCCAAATCAGAATATTTTGATCAAAAACAAAGTTGCTGGAAAAGCTCAGCAGGTCTGGCAGCATCAGTGAAGGAAAAAACAGAGTTAACATTTTGGGTCTGGTGACCCTTCCTCAGAACTCTTTGATACTTATTTGTATGTGGAGGTTAAGCAAATGGGGATAGTGATTGATTATCAACAAATAACTGGGGCAGTCCTAAAATTAAACCTTACATAACAATTGAATTGGGGAAATCATCAGGTTACCTAGAATCAACGTTTCTTACGGCAACGTTGTCCAAAATAATACTTAATTTGGAAAATGACAATTCCCAAACTTTCCTTCAATTGTTCCTTTAAGAATAAGAAATGACTGGTTATGCAAAACTAGCCGTGTGACCATGGAGTCAAAGAATCATACAGCTTATAAGGCTAATTATCTCTTTAAAAGGGCATTTCAGACAGTTCCAGTCTCCTGCTCTTCCCAAAGCCCTATAAATTATATTCCTCTCTAATTATTCACTCATTTCCCTTTTGAAAGTTACGGTTGAATTTGCTTCCACTATCATCTCCAGGCAGTGCATTCCATATATAATAATAACTCATTGCTTAAAATAATTATCATGTCTCTCTTTGAGTTCTTTTATGAATACTCCTAAATTCATGTCTTCTGGTTACCAACTCTCCTTTCAGTAGAAACTGTTGCTCCTGATTTAGTCTCTCAAAATCTCTCATTATTTTAAACATTACTAATAAGTTTTCACTTACCCTTTTTTGCTCTAAGGAGAATAATCCCAGATTCTCCATTCTATGCACATAACTGAGTATCCTCAAACATCTGCTTGTAGTACAGTTTCATCATATCTATTGAAACACAGTCAGCTCAAGTACACCGCATCAGTTATATTGTACAGCTGTTTTGCATTTTATGATGTTTATAATTTCCCTTTACAGGCGCCATGTGATCCGATTTATTGCCACTTCTCCTCTTGGACACAATATTAACATAAGTAGTACAGTACCATTTATCTTTGGTGATGAAGATACAGTTTTAGCAAATCTTAACAAGGTATGTAGCACAATACTAATCACAGAATCTATTCATCTGAAACTTGTTACTAATTGAAAAATTACTGGGCAATCAGCAGTTGGGAATTCGTTAGGGCCTTCCATTCACAGGGTCCCTTACCTGACATCCAACTTTGACCTTGCAGGACATTTCAGCCAACTCACTGGACCAACTTGGCTTGATTTCAGTATAAAAATCCATTCAATACTTGTAGATAAGGCATAGCAGTATTTTCCATCTAAGGTTGACCTGATATGTAGGATCTGCCCACATATCTGTAGTGTATAAATGGAATTCATGTTGAATGTCTTCTTAAAAGGACTGGCATTTCTTGCATAATTTCGTTTTTCAGTACATTTTTACTGATGGTTTATCTTGGATCATTTCCTTTCTCTCAAGTTTATTTTTATTTAGCTTTAGATTTAATATTCTGTGAAAATAGGTCTCAGCTGTTCTCAGTTAGTAGGAAGGACATCTGGAGTCACAAGGTTCCAGGCTCAAATCCCATTCCAGGGCTTGAAAGATCAAGACTGACTCCAATACAGTACTGAGGAAGCATTGCATTGTTGGAGATGCAATCTATTGCATGAGACAATACATGGAACACCATCTGCCTGCTTCAGTGGTTGTAAAAGATCATAGCAGTATTTCCAAGAAAAGCATGAAAATCCAGTTTTTCTGGGCATTTCCTATGACTGCTTGTGAGAATTTACTGCTTGTAAATTGGTTGCCACATATCCTGCATTAAAACAGTGATTACACCTCAAGAGTACTTCATTAGTTTAAAATGCTTTAGATAGGCTGGTGGTAAGAAAAGCATAAGCTATATATATAAATGAATCTTCCTTTTATTAAGCAAAAGTAAAGACAATTTTAAAAAGGAAGGAAATATGTGCAAAGCTATGGTGAAAATGGTTGGAATTGAATTCTTGATGACACATAGACCAATAAAAGCTCAAATGAGAGTTCTTGCATTATAAATTTTCACATCAGCTTTGAGAAGAACAAGGTTTGTAAGCAGCGAATCTATATTGATTAGACATATTTGAATGTACCTCTGGGATTTACTTTAAGAAAAAACCAATACAGTATTTAACAAGTATATCAATGTCCGCTACCACTATGCCACCAATCATAACTCCCAGGTCTCGGCATAGCTATCTGGATTAAAATGCTGTTCATAGAATCTTGGAAGTATTATAGGGCACTCTTTCCAGCCACCTCATAATTTTGAAAACTTCCATCAGATCTCTTTTTTTTGCTGCCTTCTCTCCAAGTTTAACAGTTGCAACATCTGCAGTCAGTCCTCATAACTGAAGTTTCTCACCCACCAGAACCTTTCTTGTAAACTTCTTCTGCACTCTGTCTACATTGAACTTCATCTGCCATCTATCTGCCTATTCCACAAACTCATCTGGTCTCACTACAGGCTTAAACGTTGGAGGTGGAGCAGAGTTCATGGGCCTACTTCTGCTCCCGTCTCTTATGGTCTTATCAGCAGCCAGTCACAAAAGTGCTTAAACAATTGGCAGCCGGTCAGACAAATAGTTAGACTACTTGCAGATAATCAACCAAATACTGAGACAATACTGAGGCAGCCAGTTGTGCAAGAATGAGAATGTGTACCAGATAATTTTATCCTTGATAGCTCTTGAGACGTTAGGTGTAGATTACAATTTCTTAGGCTATATACATCCACCTTCTGTATATATTTTGAGAGTATATCGATCTGGCCTCCATTCACTGTGAATTATGAAGACAATCAAAACATATTGTAACATCTTAGATATGAAATATTGTAACACAAAACTTGACTGCCTTGTATTTTCCACATCTACAGGACAGCCTGCGATTTACGCAGCATGCTACCCGTATCATTAAAGCAATCGGCAATGCGATACACGGCTTCAATGATGCGCAAGAACATCGTAAAACTTCACTGGAACTTCAACGTTGTCATTTTCCATTCCCATTTGAAGATGCCATACTGGCTGAGGAACAAACCAAGGTGAATTCATTGAAGGTTCAAGGTTAGAGATTTGGAAAAAAAATAAATAAACACTTTTGTAACTTAAGCAGAGATAGTAAGAACTGCCGATGCTGGAGTCAGAGATAACACAGTGTAGAGCTGGAGGAACACAGCAGGCTAGGCAGCATCAGAGGAGCAGGAAAGCTGATGTTTCAGGTCGGGACCCTGCTTCAGAAAATTTTCGAAATGTCAGCTTTCCTGCTCCTGTAATGCGGTCTGGCCTGCTGTGTCCCTCCAGCTCCACAGTGTGTTATTTGTAACTTAAGCATTTGCTTCCTTCTGACCAATTGTTTGCATTATTTTCTTCCTATTTTAAAATGCTTCTGAGCAAGGCTTTCCCACTTTAAGTGGGTTACCACTATTGTTAAATTAATGCCATTTAAATCTAGACATATGTGTTTTACTCCATTTTTGCTGTTCTATTCCTGAAATGAGAAGTATAATAAATCACATGCACGCATCAAATGCAACAAATGCATTATTCAATTAGGTTCATTCTCCTAACTGTTTGAAAATTTCCTTTTACTGCTATTTAGCACCTCTTTTTAAAATCTGAAATACTGCTCAGCTGTGCCAAAACTACAAACCCTGAAAGAAGTAATGAACCTGGATGAGCCATCCAGCATCAATCGAGGCATCAGAAATGACACTGCAGACCTAGCTTTGTTGATCCTACAAAATCTTCCTTCCTAACTTCAGGGGGCTTGAGCCAAACTTAGGGGAGATCTGTCCGAGTCACAAAACAGCCTTATGCAATTGTCTTCTTGGAAATACAATTTACAGACAATGTCCCAGATGCTACCATCACCATCCTGTGTCTGTATGTCCTGTCCAGCAGAAAGACAGACCCACCAAATGTGGCAGTGTAATGATATACAGTTGGGACCTAGTTGCCCTTGAAGTGCTCAACGTTGAATCAGGACAGTAGGAGTGCATTTTGTGGCATCAGCTCAAACATGGACAACGCAAAATCCTGCTGACTACTACCTAAAGAAACAATAGTTGAGATCCTGGCATATCTAAGATTATCATATAGAGCAGTACTTAATATTAATATATAATAAATAGTATCACTTTGAAGCTCAAGCCTGAAGGCAGTCCTTGACTTCCCTTCAGAATAGAAACATTGAGTGTAGGATAAGGAGTAGCTGTTTGGCCCTTTGAGCTTTCTCCACCATTCAATATGACCATGACGATTCATCCAACTCAGTATCCTCTTTGCACTTTCTCCCATATCCTCCTATATCCTTTGATCCCTTTAGCCCAAAGAAATTTATCTATCTCCTTCTTGAAAACACTTTCTGTGGCAGAGAATTCCACAGGCTAAACACTTTCTGGGTGAAGAAATTTCTCCTCATCTCTGTCCCTACCCTCATCTCTGTCTTGCTACCAAAATGGATAACCTTACATTTATCCCCAATTGTATGCATTTGCCATATATTTGCCCACTTACTTGTACAAATCTCACTGAAGCTACTCTGCATCCTCCTCACAGCATACCCTCCCACTCAGCATTGTGTCGTCTGCAAACTGGAAGATATGACATATATTTTCTCATCAAAATTATTCATATATATTGTGAATAGCTGGAGTCCAAATACTGATTCCCACAGTACCTCACTAGTCTTTGTCTGCCTCTCGGGATAAGACCATTTATTCCTACTGTCTGTTTCCAGTCTGCCACCCAGTTCTTGATTCATTTCCGCACATTACCTCCAATCCCATGTGCTTTAATTTTGCATTCTGATCTCTTATGTGGGATCTTATCGAAAGCCTTCTGAAATTCCAAGTAAACCTTTCTTCTTGAGCAGTCTGTAAAAACTCAAACACATAGTGGCATTCTAACCACATGACAAAAGATGGACACAGCAAAAGGCATTTACTGCCTGAAAAATGATGGCAACAGTAAAGATTAAGAATCATATCTGAGATCCTCTAGAGAAGTTAAGAAGTCAAAATTATTTGTTTCCAACTAAAAATTAATATAGATTTCAGACGAGCCAGCAGCCAGAGAAAAGCCACAAGAGCTGAACATCTGCTGTAAAGGAAACCTCTTCAAACAGAAACTCCTCCAGAGAAACACCAGAACACTATTAGTCTCAGACTTTTATAGGAGAAAGAAGTCTTTAAAAAGTACAGCGAGAACAGTGAAGGCCCACTGGCAACCAGGGGAGAAATTCAAATTGAGAGAAAAGTAGTAGTGAGGGAACCAATAAGAGAAGAACAGACTTGAACTCATCCTCAGCAATCTGAGATTTCAACCTCTGGGAGCCCTACGTTGCATGAGATGTAGGCATTATGACAGCCATCTGAGAAATGAGTACAGACATATCTTATTCTTCTCCTGTAGTAACACACCAGTTATGTGTTCATGGACTGAAACCCTATGATTTACAAATGCATCTGACTGTTTCAAAGGGAACTTTTATGGTTACATTAACACACTGAAGAAACCCATGATGATAGCATACATGGCTGATCTTGCCACCTGGCTATCTTCAATGGTGGTGAGGTGGATAAAATAGTTGGCATGACTAAATGAGGCGTTGGTCACCTAGTTTATGCACCAATGAGCCATAGTCTGTGAAATGTTGCGTGTTGCACCCTAGATGGTACTGCTGGATTAGAAATTGAGTGCTGCTGCAATCTTGTAGGCAACTGGAATGGGGTTCCCCACCAATCCACATGCCTGCGGATATTGATAAATAGTTCAACAATATTGGTACCACTTCCTGTCTAGCATCTCCATTGTGATACCTTGAGAGAGTTTGTGTCCACTGGGTGCATTAACACATCAGTGCCCATCTTTGCCAATGTCTGCCTAGAATTCCTGCACCCCAGCATAAAAGTCAAAGCGAACCTACTAATCTTTTACTGTTTTGATCCACAGCCATTTAATGGCTATAGGGCCTTTAATTGGCTTGAGGAAGGATTTCCGTCCCCATCATAGAGCAAGTTCTGATTCAAAAATCAAAACAAAGAACGGTGGTCATTGCTGAGATTGCATGTAGTTTCAAAATGGAGTTGCCAACATAGTTCTCTTACTTTCTCAGATAAGTCCATGATTTTATAATGGCCATGTTTTTGCACCTTTCTCCATTTGCTTACCTGGCAGAAATCAGTTGTTCTTAATTTTGAATTTTATGCTTGACCTAACCCCAGAAGTTTTTTTTTGATGGGTGGTGGATGGTGAAAGAAGTCTCAGTTCCAGATTTCCAATAGCCTTTGTGTGAATCTTTGTGACATCATCCTTGAAAGGCCCAGCTGCAATTGTAAGATTATGCCTGGTTGCTTTGGACTAACTTGGCAGAAGAAATAGTTTATCTCTACCTACCCTATCAAACTCTTTAATGATCTCTAACACTGTGATTGGTTACGTCTTTAACCTTCTGAGTGGAAAAGAGTACATGTCTAATCTATGCCAGCTGTCCTCTTAGCTTAATCCTGTAAACCCTGGTATAATTCTGGTCAATCTGTGCTGCACACCACCTATCCAAAACTGAACTACAGTACTTCAGATCTGCTCTAACTGGGACTTTATTCAATTTTAAGGTAACATCACAGTTTTGTATTCCAGTTCTCTTGAAAATAAACACTAACATTGCAGAAACCTTTATAATTTTTAAAAATATCTGTTTATTGTAGATGTGTCAGTTTGATATGGTATTTAAGAAAAGCAAATTCTTCTTGTTCTCTAAAGTAAACTGAAATCACACAACTTAATTTGTAAAAGACTATTTTGTATCTCCTCATTGTAAATTCTGTTTTATTATTTCTCTGCTAGGTCTTCAACAAAGCCGTTTACGCCACTTTAGCACACGCCCTTGATGCTTGCCCCAGTCCCGAAGACTATTTTGCCCTTAAAACACTCTTAGTTGATAGCTCTCCCAAGCAGCTTAGGATCGAAGACAGAACTTGCATAAGTGAGTGTGCTGATACCGTTTGATATGTAACTTTAGGAGATGACAAGACAATGGTTTTCAAGTCAGTATGTATTGAGAAAATATTTATTGAATACTATGAAAGCACTTGGAAAGAAAGTTGAGAAACATTTTTTCACTATTTATCTGAACAGCCATTAGCTGGTGCACTTTCTATTCCTAAAATTCAGCCACTGTACTTTTATTGAAATACTTGCTGTATTTATAATCAACATATTTAATTTAACTAATGATCCTGTACAAGTGGATCCCTAATAAAAACATTAGCATGAAACCACAACCTGAAAACAGTTTCATAAAAGATATTGATAATTCTGAACAGCTTCTTCTTGCCTTGCACCTAACCTGCACATCTTTGGACTGCATGATGAAACCAGAGCAACCGGCAGAAATCCATGCAGATGTGAGGAGAACGTGCAAACTGCCCACAGACAGTCACCCAAGACTGGAATTGAACTCAGGGCGCTGGCACTGTGAGGCAGTAGTGCAACCCACTGAGCCACCACGCCGCCCTATCCTAAAATGCTAATTAGCTAATAACAAATTAAGTACTTTGAAAGTTTAATCACGATGTTACGAAACATAGAGAAACTTGCCAGAACACAAACATTAATGCCGTAATGACCAGACAGTCTACTTTTGGGGGTTGAGGGATAACTATTGACCTGGATATCAGGGAAACACCTTTATTCTTTCTTGAAAGAAGGCATATAGTCTTTTTCACAGGGATGGGGAATTGGAAACTAGAGGGTTTTGGGTTTTAGGTGAGAGGGTAAAGATTTAAAAAGGACTTGAGGGGCAACATCTTCACAAAGCGAGTGTTGCATAAATGGAATGGGCTGCCAAAGAAAGTGGTTGAGGCAGGTACAATAGCAACACTTAAAAAACATTTAGATAGGTACATGGATGGGAAGGGTTTAGAGGGATATGGACCAAATGTGGGCAATTGAAACTAGCTGAGTGGATACCATAGTCAGCATTGACCAGTTGGGCCCTGTAACTCTATGACTGTAATGCCAGGGGATCATTTAAGTTCACCTGAAGAAGTAGATGTCCCGGTTTAATATTGTATTTGAAATATGGCAGCTTCAACAGCACTTTCTTAACAGTAATGCATTAGATTGTCATCCTAGACCTTTTATCATTAAGCCTGTAGAGTGGGATTGATCCCAAGATCCTCTAATTCAGGTCACAATGCAACCACTGAGCCATAGCTGCAACACTGGTGGTGTTTTGAAGCATCTCAGAATCAACATTGGAAACAACTAACAAATACTAACTGTTTCTCCAATGCTGATTTTTATTTTAAAATAACAGTGGCTTCCAAGGTAGAAACGATTGTCCTACTTCACATGAAAGAAAGTACATTTCACTTAAAAGTAAAGAATGGTCAAGGATGAGAGGGAAAAAATTGGGACAGTGTCATTAAAATGCTAAACACAATAAATAAGGCTAAAATCAGAAATTAATTTAAATGTGACATAGGAATATAAAGGAATTTGATTCATAGACTATTTACATACATAAAAGAGCAATAAATCCATGCCCAGCCAGTAATGTCCACAAGAGAATAAAAAAAGTTCCAATTATGTGAATCATGAACCATGCGATTTGAGATAAATTTGAACTTCATTCATAATTTCACAAGAGCTCTCTGCAATCTTGGGAGTTGACACGCAGGTTTGAAACATGCCTTTCTGTAAGCCCTTCTCCTCCTGACTATATTGATAGTAGGCATTGGCTTACTGGTCCAGCCCTATGAGATCATCTTGCAGCAAAACACAGCAGGGCCACTAGTGGGATTGGGATTCATGGGACCTGCTCTTTTAGCCTATGAATCATTGAAGACCAGGAGTACAATTCAAGACCCTGAAGAAGGGTCACTGGACTCAAAACATTAACTCTACTTTCTCTCTACAGATGCTGCCAGACCTGCCGAGTTTCTCCAGCAACTTCTAATTTTGTTTCAGATTTTCATTATCCAGTTTATTCAAGATCCTTAGAGTCATAGAGTCATACAGCATGGAAACAGACCCTTCGGTCCAACCAGTCCATACTGACCATAATCCCAGAACAAACTAGTCCCACCTGCCTGCTCCTGGCCCATATCCCTCCAAATGTTTCTTATTCATGTATTTATCCAAATATCTTTTAAATGGTGTAACTGTACCCACATCCACCACTTCCTCAGGAAGTTCATTCCACACATAAACCACTCTAAGTGTAAATGAATTGACCCTCATGTCTTTTTTAAATCTTTCTCCTGTCACCTTAAAAATATGCCCCCTAGTCTTGAAATCCCCCACCCTAGGGAAAATACACCTGCCATTCACCTTATCTATACCCCTCATGATTTTATAAACCTTGATAAGGTCACCCATACGCTCCAGTAAAACAAGTCCCATCCTATCCAGCCTCTCCTTATAACACAAGCCCTCCATTCCTGGCAACATCCTGGTAAATCTTTTCTGAACCCTCTCCAGCTTAACAATATCCTTCCTATTACAGGGAGACCAGAACTGGACACTGTACTCCAGGAGAGGCCTCAGCAAAATCCTGTACAACCTCAACATGACTTCCCAACTCCTATACTCAATGGTCTGAGCAATGAAGGCAAGCGTGCTAAATACCTTCTTAACCATCCATTTCACCATGGCATTTGTAGTGAACAAATACACAATTCTATTCTCCATAATGCCAACCTCTACTGAGATTTACATTTTCCTCTTGTGTTGTATGTAACAAATACCCCTCAATCATAGAATCCTTGCAGTGTGGAAGCAGGCCATTTGGCCAAACACATCCATACCAACCCCCTGAAGAGCATCCCAACCAGACCCACCCCCTTACCTTATCCCTGTGATCCTGCATTTCCCATGGCCAATCCATGTCACCTGCACGTCTTCGGACTGCAGGGGTAAGAAACCAGAGCAAACCCACACAGACAGTCCCCTGAGGGTGGAATTGAACCCAGGTTGTGGATGTACCAATGTGCTAAGCTCCATGGGAAGTTTGAACATTCACCAGGCAATTCCCCAGCACCTCAGGACCCTCCACAAAAGCCTCCAACTTTTATTTCAAGTCAGAGGCTTCAGGACAATTCTGACTTACTTAGCTGGATATTTTGGCAGTAATCATTCAACAGAAACATCCTGGCTTAACTCTGGGTAATGATAGGACTAAACTCCCTACCCCAGTCACTGACACTATTCCCCAACTACCCCACTGACTTCCCTGACATGATCTGATCACTTCCAATGCATTATGTCCCTGAAATTAGGCCTTGCTGAGCCTACGTGAGGCAAAAGTATAGTGTTTGAATGACCACTTAGAGGTTCGATGAGCTACTAATGATTTTCATAAACTAATCGTCAACTTACCTGTTGGTTTATGTCTGAAAATCATAACTTTTATACTAAATCTTGAGTTTGTCTCCTAATTTATGAGGTGGCATGTTTGGCATTACTCAAAGGGAGCTATTGATACAGTTAGTTGAATGCACTGGTGCTGCTATGAAGTTTTTCAAGTGTAAGTGGTTCAGAGATTTAGAGAACCACATGTAATGGCCAATGGTGTATTGACCAGAGGCTAATATCATTGTAATGTTGTGTATGCACTTGCAGCCTATCACAGCTGTGTGCAAGCCTCATTATATCCTCAAATATCCAGTATGAAGAAACCTACCAGTGCTCATTATGTCTTCTAAGTGAAACCAGCTAGAACTGCACATGTAGTTGCAGCCAAATGTGAAACACTGCAATTATAGTTCAAGAAAGGTAGTATAAATCACTACCAACATTATGGCTCAAATAAATGTTATGCATAGTGTCCTTCCAGGTACACCCCCCCACCCCACCCCCACCACCCCGATCTTCAGTTTAAAACAATAGTCAATAGATAACTAAAAAATGAAAATGATTGGTGCCACTAGTGTAAAAGAAGCTTTCAATGACTGAACATTTTGTAACATACCTATTTTGATTTCAACAATATAAAATCAGCTGTTGAGTCCTGTGAACCCACTTCTGCCCTGCTGGCATAGATCAATTTTAGCCTTGTTGTCAGGGACATGGAAAATGCAACATTTTCTCTTCACAGCCATCTCCAACCTCCCTGAAATCTGATGATGACATGATTGGCATCTCCTGACATTCATATCGTAGGCTAATCTCTCCACCAAGACCTCAACTTTGGAAAATAGTCTAATTTGTCAAAACTCTATACTTGAGGCAGATAATAGAACTCCCCAGCAAATAGAAATTTGTTGACAACTGTGATAAGGTTAAAAGTAGTCACTGCTTTGTTATGTTCAAATTGAAGCATGATGCTTTATGTGTTTCATGAATTTCATGAAACCCTTAATGTTTTTAATAAGGTTCTGTTTCTGAAATGCCTGAGTCATGGAAAGAGAGGACCCCAACTAAGGAGGAAGCCACAGCTGCCAGCAGAATACAGACTTGGTGGAGAGGTGTCATGTTTGGTGAACTCAGATATGCAAGTACGATAGGTATGGTTCACAACTCTTTGCTTCAAAAACTGAGAGATACAGAGATACAGGAAGTCTGAGTTGAGAAAGTTCCCAACTCTGTGAATCATTGTATGTTAAGAATGCCCCCATATGCACTTTATTTTATTTTGATGAGATGGCAGTTGGATGGAATCGGGCCAGCTGCCTTCATATGCAAAACTAAGGTAGCAACAGAGGCAGGTGGATGGCGGAATGGTCAGCAGGTTGGAAAACTAAAGTCTGTTTACAGGGACCATCTGATTGTATGACTGTTAGGCCCTAAAGCCTGCTTCCAATGATACAATTTCTAGATAGCTTCAGTATAAATGCTTGGCTAAGTTCCAATGTAGCTCAACAAGCAATGTTTACAAAACTGCAGAGGAGAGTGAAAGCATAGTTGGATTGACATTCTTAGTGTCTCATAATAGTCTGCTGTTTGAAGAGTTTTTGTCAATGCCTGTATGTTTATTAACACGATCAAGACATATGAAGTGGACCGTAACTTTTGTCATTGATAATATGAATGATTGTTATTACTTGGCACCTTAATATGAACATAAGGTGAACAATGCCTTTCAATCGCTTTCAAATATTTTCATATTTCAAAGATTGGGTGACTACATTTTTGCATCCAAACTCCTCCATGACTCCCAACTCCTCTGTGGTACCATGAACTCACATCACCTAACAAATTGTGCCAGAATCCATTATAATTGAGGGATTGGGGGTGTTGTTTAAAGTGCAAAGCCCATAAATCAAGCTAGTAAAAATGGTAGTGCTGTTTGCCAACTGCTACATGCTCATTTATCCCTGTGCTAGAAAAAGGACTGGGGCCAGAGAAACCAAACTCAGGTCACACTATTTTTAAAGACCTTCCAAATTAGCCCCTTCCAAATCTGGACCTGAGTATCAGTGTATGATATGTCATTTTGCAGCAAACAACAAAGCATTTTCTCCCAATGTGCATTGCACGATTCAATTAGCCAGGAAGTTTGGACAAAATATTTTAAAAATGCTCAGAATGAGTCAACGGTTAATAAGAAGGAAGAAAAATACAAGAGCAAGCTACATAGAGATACAGATAGTAAGAGTTTCTACAGATTCTTAACAATGAGTTACCAAAGTGAGCACTGGTCCCAGAGAAATTGAGTATGAGGAATTAATAATACAAAATAAAGAGATGTCAGATGAAGTGAACAGGTATTTTGCATGACTTTGTTATGGAGAATATAACATACATCCTAAAAATAGCTGTAAATCAGCAAGTGGAAGGGAGAGAGAAACTGCAGAAAATCACAATTGCCACAGAAGTGGTACTGAACAAATCATTAGAGCTACAGGTTGACAAATCGCTAGGTTCTGATGGAAATCAGCCTTGGGGTCTTACAAGGAATGGCTAGTTGATTTGTTAGGTTTAATTTTCCAAAATTCCTTAGATGTAGGGAAGTTTCCATTAGATTGGAAAACAGCAAAAGTAACTCCTTTCGAAAAGACAAGGAAATATAAATCAGGACACTACAGACAAATTAGCTTAACATCTGTTATTGGAAAAATGTTAGAAGCTATTATTGAAGACCTTATTTCTGAGCACTTAATTAACTTCAGGATAATCAGACAAGTCAACATAGTTTTGTGAAAGGGAAATCATGTTTAATCACTTTATTTGAGTTCTTTGAAGAAGTATTAAGTGCTGTGGAGAAAGGGTGGGTGTAATGTGCTTAAATTTCCAGAAAGCATTTGATATAGTGCTTCATCATAGATTATTGCAGATATTTAACCATGGTGTAAGAGGTAACATATTTGCATACATAGAAGATTGCTACCTAACAGAAAACAAAAAGTGGTCATAAGATTCTTAGACAGTGCCTTCCAAAACCATGATCACTTCCATCTGGAAGGACAAGGGCAGCGGATATATGAGAGCTCCACAACTGCAAGTTCCCCTCCAAGCCATTCACAAAAGCACATCAAACCTCTGAAAGAAATCGGTGCTTTGTAAAATGAGGGTTTGGAACATAGCTAGTTTTCGATCTGTAGAGTAAGGGTGAACCAGAGTGAAGGCAGGGGACGGTTGTGAAGGAGACTACTGCCAGAGCAGCACCACTTCCATGAGTGCTGGCAATGACAGACAGGCATTATGATTCCCCCAGTACTCAAAAGCAGTTACTGAATGAGAAGTTTACATAGAGAAATTATATTGTAAATTTGGAATCCTTGCAATAATATGGAAAACTGCATCCAGACCTTCTGTTTTCTAGATAGTCAGAGACTGGATATAGTCTGAAAGATGAATGCAGGGACTTCTGGGAAGTTCTGACACACTACCCAGCAATTGCCCAGGAGGTTGAAAATTCTAATGGAAAACTCTCCCAAAGAAAAGCTTGCAGCTGAGTCTTTGGATGATCTTGATTTATGTATCTTAATAGTTAACCAAGGAAAGATAGAGGATTGATACCTGCTGTAACTTCTGGTTAATAATAAAAATTGCACTAGCACCCCACACCCACCCCAACAAATTATCCAAGTACACATCCTTGTCTACCTCCTACTCTTGTAAAAGGACAGAAATATCTATACCCTCCAATCCAACCAGAATCATCTGAATCCAGTTTCCCTACATCAACTAACCTAATGCCCAACTTGGACCAGCCTAGACGGAACCACACCACTCCACCTTTTGCTCCCAGCCCACCAATCTCTGGAACCAACCTAATAACCCTACTCTCAACCAACCTCCTCCTACCATAGACCCTGACTACCTCCCACAATTCAACTCGAATCCCCACACCCAACCTCCTATCCCCCCAATCCGAACTCCAACCCACCAGACCTGACCCAAACTGACTCCACCCAAACCCCTAACACCCACTCCCAAGAGCCTTTGAAATTCTCTATCCCAGAGAGTGATGTGGACAGAACTATTGAATATTTTTAAGACAGAGGTAAATAGATTCTTGACTTACAAGGAATTATCATGCATAGATGAGAATGTGGGGTTGAGGCCGTAATCAGATCAGCCATGATCTTATCGAATAACAGAGTAGCCTAAAGGAACTGAATGGCCTGCTCCTGCGTCTAATTTGTATGTTCATATGTTTACAGCATATACACTGGGTATTCAGTTCAAAAGGTGCATGCGGGTGTTTTTACTTTATAACACATATTGCTGTTTTAGTGATTTATACATTTCCTTTGCTCTTAACATCTTATCATCATCCTACTGTTGTTTTCCAAGTAGCTATATGGCTTTATTTATGATGTCTCACATTTTGTTCCACCTCACACATTAATATAAAAATTAATTTTCCAATTATGCACCCATTTTGCAAGTCTGTTAATATTTCCAGTAACACATATTGTTCTATACCAATACAGGGTCAAAGCAGCACAATTATGTCAACGCTATCCTGCAGGAAATTTGGCATTTGCTGGACTCAGACATAGAGCAACATGCCTCATACTTACTTAGGTACGAATCTCTGAAGACAACTGTGAAGTTCAGATCTCCAAAGATGTTTCTAGAAATATTGCTCATAATTATTATTTTCCATGTATTATGTCTAAGATAATATACTTAGAAATGTAAGCTGTATCAATCAAAAGTGCTATGTTTCCACAGGACAGGATGAGGAAGTGAATGATGGTGATTAAAATAGAAGCCCAAATATTAATTCAGGAGCGGTTTCATGGTTAGGAAATCAGAAACTGGGTTTCTGTTAGGCCCCAAAGCATTTAACTGATTTACAATAACTCTTCAGTTGTTTGGCCACAGCCATCTAGATTGAAAGACTTAAGGGAGAGCTTGTGAATCAGGAAAGGATATAACAAAGGTTTGGAGACACACACGGAGGGTGGGTGAATCTTTAACAAAGATGACATCGGATGGGGTGGCTGGATATTACAGTTGGCGTGAAGGACATGAAGCCAGATTGTTGATGAGCCAGATACAATGATGAATCTAGATGGAAAATGTAAAAGAATGGGGGAGATTTAGAGGCTCAGAGATGTCTGAGCAAATAAGCGAGATTTAGCAGATGAGTGGAAAGGCATCTGTGTGCTGGATCTGGCTGTCCTCAGTTCCTTTTAGATGCCATATTTCCCAGTACCTCATTTTAATATTTATGCAATCAATATGTTTCCTGGGAGTGGAATAGTCATTGATGCGCCATCCCACCTTATTTAAAACCATAAGTTGGAGGGCTGGGTTTAGATTTGAGATTTTTAACATTTTTATGCATTGCCTGACCACACATATCTGTTTTTGAGAGTTGAAATTTCCATCTAAAAGATAGAAATGGGTCACTGCTGTGGCAAATATAATCATCATTTGGAATGATAATTGTAAATTAATTAGTGGTGGAAAATGTTCCTTTAATGGTGTCATTTAACTAGGGTATCCTCAAATCTACAGATGGTCCACAGCAGTGTTTACCAAACAATGTTGAATATTTTACCTGAATTATTGGTTTGTTGAAATCCTTTCAATGACTCTATTTTTGCAGGTTTTAATAAGGTGATATAAAAGTTTTGCAAAGGCAAAATTGCACTCGCTTAAACTATTAGAAAAACAGCATTTTCATGGTTCTGTGGTGCTTGAATCTACATATAGAATATGATTTTTTGTGTTGGAGAATTTATATAGCTTGATACTTCACATTTCTGAGCATGATAGAAGAGGATGAGTAGGAATGGAAAGAGATGATGTCTAGTAATCTTATGTATGGTCAAGCTGGAATTCTTCATAACTGAGTAACATCTAAAGTGCTGAGAGAACCAAGTAAATATGAGAAAGGCAAGACAGGACTTCTATAAGGCTTTTCACAGTGACAAACCATCCCAAATCACTCAATATCCAATGAAGTACTTTTGAAATGTTATCACCAATGTAAAATAGGAATTATGACTGCTGGTTGGCACACAACACTCAAACAGCAATGTGATAATAACCAAATCTGTCTTGGATATTGATTGAGGGCTATACACTGGTCCACATCACCAGAATTTCAATGTTCCTAAAATTAAAACTGTGGGGTCTTTGTCCATCTAAGAGGGGATATGAATCATCAACTTAACATTGCATCTGAAAAACCACACATCCAACAGTGCAGCGTTCTTTCAGTACTGTCAGTTTGGATTTTGCAATTCAACCTCTGGTGTGGAGCTTTGATCCACAATCTTCTAACTACCCTGACTTCAGAGAAGACTGACACATGAGAAGGCTGCATTTCATGAAATTTTCATCTCTCAATTGTATCTGCTCATACATCCAGATTTACATTATCACTAATGATGACTCATGCATTAAAGTTCTGCTCACGTACCCCTGGGGGGATCAGACATTATGCAATTCATTGCTGTATCCTAGAAATAACAGATTATCTTTATGTAGAGTTCAACAGCAGATCTAAGGACAAGTACAGATGAGGAAAGTTATTTCGATCATCTTTCGCTCATCCATAAAGAAAACATAATCACCATATCTAACTCTTTGAAAGATTCTAAACTTCATGTCCCTCACACTCCTTGGATGTTCTTCTGTAAATTAGTCATTCATTGTTTAAAGAGGATTCATCAAATAGTCCTCTTTGTTGCTTTAACTCTATATCCCCAAGTTGTCACGTACAGTTTAGTCTGATGCATTGTTCTGGATCTGTAACATATGTGCCTCATGATGTCACTTCTTCCTCACATTATTCCAAGACTGGGACACCCAGTTTTCTTCAGTATGCCCACTTAACGATGTCCTCTAGCACAAGCAATAATTTTTTCTCTCTACTTCAGAGTCCTTATGTCCTCAACTTTCCTAAAAATTTAGTTCTCTAACATATGGCATCTTCTCACTAGTTCATTGAGTTCTTTTTGTGTCTTAGTAATCAAAACTGGAGAAAGATCATTTCCATGATGATTATTTTGTTCCCTCATAAATTAATGGTACATTAATAGAAACAATAAAAGGCACAATGTTCATAATTTGTACTTATTTTATGTTCTTGATATTTTCTAATCAGCCTGTTCAATGATGTTATTACACACCTCTGGGGCAGGTGGGAGTTTCTAATAACCAAGAAGAGTAATTGTACTTGCCTGTAGTCAATCAGTTAGAGAAATAGCTGACTGATTGATGGTGCACTTAAACTGATTTGCAGTTAAGGCTGTGTAATTTAGTATTGTTCTTACAGTATTAAAATATAAAAATAAATAGACTTATTCAGGTACAATAAAATAGTGAGGCTTGTTTCCCCAGCCTCTTGACTGCATATTTTACTGCAATAACTAATGCTGTAGCAAGATGAGTTACTGACCTCCGATATATTCAGAGAGATCTTAAAGACCTTGGTGGAATAAAGAGTATAGGGAGTAAAGTGCCCAAGTCTGTTGTTATCAAGAGTTGAAGTATTGACAGGGCCTTGGAACAATCCACTATGTCAAGCACTTGTTGCATTGCTGTGGAAGATCAAAAGCATTGGTTAGCTTTCATTCTTCAAACGGTTAAAAAAAGACACCAGCTCTTTCCTACAGATGTGCAAACATGGACTGTGTTTCATATCCATTTTCTTTTTGATCTTCCAGGTACATGTTTGATTTAAGTCCAAAACTGGCAAAATTGTATCCATTTTATGAAGATGACTGGTGTAAGACTGTATATGCAGATTACACAACCACATACAGTGATCAGCCTCCCAATTTCTGGTTTGTGGTTTTCAGGTATGAATAGAAATTGCACTTCTTGGTGATGGTGACATTCCCAAGGGATTTGCCTGTGCACTTGCAACACTCATTCTAAAACTACTTTCTATCATAAGGATTGGCCAGTGATTCTTTTCCACTTAGCCTTTTAAATCAGTGATTGCTAATATTCCCGTGCATTGCTATGTGTGCCTGTTTAAGTATTATAAAAAGCAGATCTTAATTATACTATAATTGATTTACTTGCACTGTACAATAGAACAAATCTAATTTGTTCGAAAATAAAAAGTTATGCAACTGTTACTTGCAAAATGTGGCACTTGGCCATGTTATGGTCATTTTTATGTCTGGTTTTCACAAGACAATTTCATCAGGAAGACCCTCCAGCTCACCTTGGTTCAACCAGTTAGAGAAATACTAACTAACTTGGAGTTGTTTCTCAAATGATTCCAGGTTTATGTCTCTAACTACTCTATTTTGAAATTTAGTCTCTACCTCAATATGACTGTTGAAAGGTCCAGAAAGACTAAAAGGGTAGGTATTTTATTCATTTGAAGAAGTTACAATTTATTTAAACAGCAGAACAAATACATTTTTGAAAGATATATGGTTAAAGTAGCATAGGACGGAAATCTGCTTAGATCTGCTTCCAATGTCTTGTCTTTTATACATTTAAATTTTGTTTCTATCAATAATGGCAATGAAGTAAGACCTGCAGGTTGGAGGAAAATCTCAACCACAATGATTACTTGAGTGACTCAGAATGACTATCGCTATTGTGAGGATCAAACTCTATCAATCAAATTTTCACTACTTTCTTGGAATCACTAGTTGGGCCATCTCCAAACATCACATTCCTGAGTTATGAATGAGGCCACATGCACATTTTTCACTGCAGGCAGAGGCAAGAGTTAAGGTTTGCACCACACGAAGCAACTCAGCAAGATACATTCCTCATGTCCTGCAAATGTTTCTTCTTCAGGTAATTACCCAAAACACTTTTGAAAACAATAGTTGAATCTGTCTCCACCACACTGTCAGACATAACTATGCCTTTGTAACTAAGCTTTTTCTCATACCACCATTAGTTCTTTTGCATTTCACCTTAAATTGGTGTGATCTAGTACTCAACTTTTTCACAACTGGGAACAATTTCTCTCTATCTACTCTGTCCAAATCCCTCATGGTTTTTAGCAACGCTATCAAATCTCTCAGCTTCTCAAATCTACCCTTGTAACTGCGGAAACATCTTGGTTAGTCAATTCTGTATTTTTTTTTCTAGTGCCTTTATATCATTCTTAAAGTGTGATACCCAAAATTAGACACAATATTCCAATTGAGGCTGGATCAATTTTCTTATGAAGTGCCACCATAATCTCCTGGTTTTTGCACTGTACACATGTATTTATAAAGCCCAGGATCCCCTGGATCATTTAGGCTTTCTCAGTAAACCCTACCGTAATTGGTGCTGATATGTCCCCAAGTTCCTCTGCTTCTGACTCCCTTTAAAACCATATCCTTTATTAGAATTAGAATTAGATTCTATTGTCTCATGTACTCAACTATAGGAATACAGTGAAAAGTGTACAAAGTCGCCATTCTACGATGCTATCTTAAAATACAAAATATAAAACCAGAGAAGAAATAAAAGAAACATAGCCAAAAGAAAAAGAAAACCCATCCAGATCTTAAAGTCTTTATCCAAAAGAAAAGGAAAAAGTCCAAATTTTAAAGTCTAACCTCCCAGTCCTAGCCCAGAGAGTTGATTGGGGAAGCGATGGTGTGGCGGTATTATCACTGAACTATTAATCTAGAAACTCAGCTAATGTTCTGAGAACCTCGAATCCCATCACAGTAGTAGGTGCAATTTGAATTCAATTAAAAAAACTCTGTTACTAAGAATCTACTGATGACCATGAAACCACTGTCGATTGTCAGAAGAACCCATCCGATTCACAAATGCCCTTGAGGGAAGGAAATCTGCCATTCTCACCTGGTCTAGCCTATGTGTGACTGCAGACCCACAGCAATGTGGTTGATTCTCAATTGCCCTTACCAATCGCTACAAAGTCTCACAGCTGGCATCAACCTAGGCACCAGAAAAGACAATGGCAGAAATAGCCCTATCGACTCTGCAGAGTCCTCTTTACTAACATCTGGGGTCTATTGTCAAAATTGGGAGACTCGTCAAGCACCAGCCTGACACAGTCATACTCATGGAATACCTCACAGACAATGTCCCAGACACCACCATCACCATTCCTAGATATGTCCTGTCCCACTGCTAGGACAGACCCAGAAGAAGTGGCAGCACAGTGGTATACAGTCAGGAGCTGTCAATGTTTCGGCTATTACCCTTCTTCAGGACTGGATGTGGGGGTAGGGGGAGCTGCAGATAAAGGAGGGGGCAAGGTGGGGAAGGGGTGGAGGTGGAATGGTAATGATAGGTGGACACTGGTGGTAGGTATGACCTGGTTGGTCAATGGGAGGGATGAATCCAGTTGGTGGCTGAAAGGGAGGGTCGGAAGTGTCTGCTCCTTTCCTCCAGATGCTGCATGGCCTGCTGTGTTCTTCTAGCCTTTTGTTTGTTTACCTTGGATTCCAGCATCTGCAGTTTTTTTTTGTCTCTAACTAAGGTATACAGTCAGGACCTGGGTATTTAGGACTGAGATGAGAATGAATTTCTTCATCCAAAGTGGTGAGCCTGTGTGGTATTCTTTGCCACAGAAAGTGGTTGAGGTGTAAACATTAAATATTTTGAAGGAGTTAGATATAGCTGTCAGAGCTAAAGGGATCAAAATGTTTGAAGTGAACGAAGCACAGTTGGATGATCAACCAGGATTGATCATAATGAATGGCTACTTATGTTCCTATTTTCTATGTTTCCTCTTGAATTCAATCACTATTCCCCTTGTTACACTGCTGGCCACCTCCATTTTCCAAAACAAGAAGCAGGAGCTATCTGGCTTCCAGAAATGTTTATTGCATTTTATATGTTTAATATTTCAATAAAAACACCAATATGCTCTTTCTTCTTCCTGACAAGTTCTCCCCACTGGTGCAATCCAGCCCTCAAAAATAAATATTCAAGTGAACATTAACTGCTGTCAATTTTCACTGGAGCTTATCCTTGTTCATTCTTAAAAGGACCATCATTTATAGCATTGTTACTCCTCACAGTTCATAATTCCAAGCTTTCTGTCACAGCAACTTTTAAAATTGTGCCCTGCACACTAAAGTCTGAGTCATTGAAGCAGATCAGTAAAAGCAGTAGCCCTAGTACCAATGGCTTGAGAAGCAACTACATCCCCTCCTCCACTTTAAAACCAAACATTCACTATTGTCCTTCATTTCTTTGCACTCAGCCAACTTTACATTTATTCTGCCACTTTCCTTTTCATTCCGTGGGCTGTGATATTTATTAAAGATCAGCGTAGGAGAGAGACAGAAAGAGAGATTAAGGCAATAGTTGATAGTGGTGAAAAAAAATTCAGAAGTTATCTTTGTGCACCAGGAACTTCCTCAAGCTGTGAGCCCTTTTGGCTGAGACAACCAGAACACAATTGTCCTTGCGTGGTCTAGCTAAATCTAAAGGTGAATGAACAAATGAGCTGTGTGCCATCCGAAAGTATATACACCTTGGACTCAATGACTGAAGACAGGAACTAGTGAATGATTGGGATAGGAGAGAGCAAACTTTCTCCTTTCTTCAGTCAAATTGTCTCAGGTTGTGATCAGTTTGATCCCAAGTTGAAGTCTGCACATTAGTCCTAGGAAATTGCAAATGAGATGCCTCAACAACTAATATTAGGATCCAAAACCCTATTCCAAACCCTGATCAGATTTTTTAAAAATACCCACTTAACTTTAGATGACTTATGCATAAACCGGTGTTGATGCTTACTGCGTCAGGATGTCCACAGGGTCCCTATGCACAACTCCAGTCCACACTGCTACAACACGATCTGGCTATCAGAATATCTGAGGTATTGCTATGTTGACAGCCTTAAATTCTCAGCAATGGAGCTTAGAAATGTAAATCAACTGTGTGCATGTAAAATTTAACTCTGAATTTGGAGCTAATGACAGGATGATGCATCCGAGAGGACTGGGATGGAACCCTGAAATACTGCAGGATTGTACAGTGTCAGGGAGGCAAGTCTATTGAAGAATAGGGTACCTTACTATTTTGCTAGAATACCACCAAATTTGCAGTTGTGGCTGATAACAACATGTATTAAGTTTTGCTTAAGTCAAGTAATCTTGCCTCACTAATGACCCTACCAGATCCGGATTAAAGTCCTACCTGCTACAGCAGTGTGTAATATTATCTCTGAACAGGGTGATTCACTTCTGTCTTGCCTCTCAGAGGTTACCACATTGTGTAGCTCTAGGATTACAAATCCCTGGAGAGCAAGTTTACAATGACTAATACTTTAAATTGTTGACTGAAGTGGTCCTTTGCCATCATCTACAGCTCAATGAAGTAAAGGTGTGTGGCTCAAACAGCAGTCTAGTCTCTAGGAGTGAAAGACTAGGAAGAGTGGCTGCTAAATTCAAAGGTAGATAACTTGTCAATTCTGCTTTAATGAGCAAAGAGAGAATATATGTTTGACACTAGTATGTTGATAACTTAAAAAAAAGTCAAAGTTTGCCTGATTTAGTTGGTTGTCAAAGGCGTAATCCAAATTTTAACGACAAATCTGATACAATTAATTTGAAATTATAATTTTATATTTTATATATTTTGTTCTCTTTTGGTCAGTTCTTACTGCAGTGATTAGTTTATTATTGTAAAAGGTTTGCAGATACAATATATTTTAATTTTCAGTCTTTCTCTCTCCCAAGAAACAGGTAAATTGCTTGTGAATTGGGTCTGCCATCTTATTAACCTCCTCCACAAATTCTTTATGTTTAAAAAATCTCCCTGAATTTTTTTATTTGCTGTTTACTTCCAGCCCCCCAATATTTGATCCTTTTGTTCCCTTTGCTTTCACTTAGGGGTGCTTTAACTACCTAACTGAACTTTTGTTGTGCCCACAGAGAGGTGTTTAATGTCCCTAAAGACATGCTGATTGTGCCAAAGGTTTACTCTGCACTACCCACTTGTGTTCTGCATGTGGTCAATAATGATACAGGAGAAGAAATACCCAGGGTTTTTCAAAAGGTAGCTCCTCATACATACAATAAAAATAAGGTAGGTAAATCCAATAGCTGGAGATGTGACTTCCAATGTATTATTCTGTTCGGAATTTGTTTCTCATTTCAATAAAATTGTTCTTTGTGCAGATATTTCATTCAAATTAGCAAAAATTTCAATTATAAGTCGTTACCGAAAATTGCAAATTTTATTTTTATTCAGAATGGCTATACATTCACAGCTGAAGCCCAAACTGGGAGCTTCCCAGTTCCCAGTGGTAAATGCAGATTACGTTTGATTGGCTCCAGGTATCCTCTTCCTGTTCTGGCAAATGAAACTGTCAACAGCAGCTTTTCAATGAAGGAGATTAAGTCCTACTACATTCCAAATGACAAAAACATCATCTTCAGGTAGTCATAAGAAATTGCTTTGCAGCTTAATATTACAAATGCTTGACACTTCTTGAAATAATCTTAAACTAGTCACTGATTCCATTTGCCAAAATGAAACTGTTGAGAAAATGACAGCTGGATGGAACTAAATGGATAAAATTTCAAGCACAATGTGTCTTTAGTGCAAGATCAGAGTAATCTTCAGCTGGTGCATACTGATATAATGTTTGAGAATTCCAGCTGAAAGGAATGCAATTTGCTTGTTTGACTTGATGTGAGAATAGAATCAGTATTTGATTGCCCTGGCTGAAAAAAATAGTGATTTTTGAAGAAAGGATATAGATCATTTTTGAAGATTTTTTGACAGGTGAAATGATATCAAAATCATAGAATGATACATTGAAAATGGAAGTCTACTATGCCTGTGTTAGCTCTTTGAAAGTGCTATCTATTTGGAATACTCTTTTGCTTTCTTCCTATGCTCTTTAAATCTTCCTTGTTTCCAAGTACTTGTTCAATTCTCTCTTGAAAGTTTACTATTAAATTTGCTTGAAGCACATTCTTGGGCAGTGTTTTTCAGACCTTAACAACTCACACAAAAATACTTTCCTCATGTCAATTCTGTTTTTTGCATCCGTATCCTTCAGTCATCATACTTTCTTCCACAACAGATTATCCGTACTTACGCTATGGAAACACTTCCTGATTTCAACACTTCTTTCAAATCTTCCCTTGATCTCCTCTGCTCTGAAGCAGTTTATGTCCAAATGCAGTGAGATCTGGGTAACATTTAACCTGGACTGATAAGTAACAAGTAACATTTGTGCCACGTAGGTGCTATGCAATGACCTTCTCAAATTTGAGAAAATCTAACCATCACTCCTTGATGTTCAATGGTATTACAACCCCTGAATCCCCCAATATCAACATTGTGGGGGTTACATTTGACTGGAAACTGGGTTAGACTGGATGAACCATGTAAATATTGTGTCTGCGAGAGCAGGTCAGATGCTAGGAATTCTGTAGTGAGTATATCACCTCATATCTTGCCAAAGTCTGTCCACCATCTCCAAGGCACAAGTCAGGAACACTCACTGCCTGGAATTTCCCTTCCACGTCTTACACACAGTTCTACCTTGGAAATATATTGCCATTCCTTGAGTATTGCGAGAATACTTTCCACTTATCTGTACATCTAGGTGGAGTTCTAACAACGCTCAGGAAGACAACATTCAGGACAAAGCATCCTGCTTGATTGGCACCCTGTCAACATTCACTGCCTCCACCGCCAATGTACAGTGGCAGCAATGCATACCATCTGCAAGATGAGCTGCCATAACTAACCAAGCCTCCTTCAACAGCACCTTCCAAACCTGTGACCTTGACCACCTAGAAGGACACTCACTGCCTGGAATTTCCTTTCCATGTCTTACACACATTTGCACCTTGGAACTATATCACCATTCTTTGACTATTACTAGGTCAAAATCTTGGAACTCTCAACCTAACAGCTTGGTCTACATCCAAAAACTAGTGGTTTATGAAGGCAAGTCACCACTAGTTTCTCCAAGGTAATTAGGGATGGGCTATAAATGCTGGCCTAGCCAGCAATACTCACATCCTGTGAATGAATGGAATACAAACAATCCCAGCTTCTCTTTACTTTTCCTGTAACTGAAGTCTCTCATCCCTGATATCATTCTAGTAAATCTCCTCTGCACCCTCTCCAGAACCTGGATATCTTTCTTAAAATGTGCTATCCAACATTGGCCACAATGCTCCAACTGAAGCGTACCCAGTGTTTGATAAACATTTTGTTTAAGTTTTTAACTCTGTACTCTATCTCTCCACAAATAAAAGCAAGAGTCCCATGTGTGTTTTTATTTAAACAGCCTTCTCTATTTGGCCTGCCACCTTCAAAGATTTGTGGAAACAAATCTCTTCAAGGTTTTGGAGTAGATTTGTAGCTCGAGTTGTGGATGTTGTGGTTGGTTGGCTCACCAAGTTGGTTCATTGTTGTTCCGCAGACGTTTCATTACCCTGCTGGGTAACATCATCAGTACAGCCTCTGATGAAACACCTTCATCGAACCAGTTCGGCGAGCCAACCAACTACAACATCCACAACCCGAGCTACAAATCTACTCCAAAACCTTAGAGACCTACAGGCGAAACACACTCAAATTGGCACGAAAATGGGGGAAGGCACTTCATTGGAGGCTGCACTGATGATGTTACCCAGCAAGGTAATGAAACATCTGCAGAACAACAACGAACCAGCTGGGTGAGCCAACCAACCACAATAAATTTCTTTAACCTCTCTGTTCCTGCACCTCCTTTAAAACTGGACCATATGCTTCATAACATTACTCCTCATTTGTCTAAAAAAATGTTTCATTCACATTTTTTAATTTTATTCATCAAGTGTCTGTCCATTTCACCAATCCATCCTGCTCAGGGGTTGGCACATTAAAATAATCAGGAACAGAAGAAATCTTCACATTTTTGCTACTGGATGGAATTACAAATTAAGACACTGCAGTTACTGAAAAGCAGTTGTCAGTAATAAAATTGAGTTTTGATGTACAGGTAATAGCAGATAAGTTTATTCCTGGTACAGAGCTTTTTACTGTATTTCAATGAAATAAGTAAAGACATGTTTCACAATCTAAGGGCATCCGAAAATGCTTTTCAGTCAAAAGAAGTACTTTGAAATGTAGGGCCAGATTTTCATCCTCAAGGCAGTAACAGAAGTCAGGAAACTTCCTGGCTTTGCATACCCAGCTCAGGAAATAACAACCCCAGAGGCACAATCTGCTAGGAGGACTGGAAGCTAGCTGAAACTGGGCCAATCAACCTCTGCCAAGCCCACACAAAATTTGGATGGAGCCACTGGGGTCACATGTTGGTGCTGTGGGTCTTCAACCCAACTGTAAAAAAACTGAGGCCCAACAATCCCCTTACCCTTGTATATACTTTCCATGTCCTATCCAGCCTACTTCACTGTACTAATCAAGCTATTACATCTCCCAAACAATGCCAATGCTTCCATGTCAAGGTATGACCCTTCTCCCACACATTGTAGTCCGTCATAGCCCCACGCCAAGGTGTGGTAATTCCATTCCAAGGGAGGTGATGGCCTAGTGGTATTATCGCTGGACTGTTATTCCAGAGACCCTGATAATGTTCTGGGGACCCGGGTTCGAACCCTGCCATGGCAGATGATGGAATTTGAATTCAATAAATATCTGGAACCTGGTGATGACCATGAATCCATTGTCGATTGTCGGAAAAAACCCATCTGGTTCACTAATGTCCTTTAGGGAAGGAAACTGTCGTCCTTACCTGGTCTGGCCTCCAAGTGACTCCAGACCCACAGCAATGTGGTTGACTCTTAACTGCCCTCTGGGCAATTAGAGATGGGCAATAAATGCTGCCTAGCCAGCAATGCCTTCATCCTATGAATGAATAAAGAAAAATAAATTCCAATTCATTTACCGTCCATGTATAACAGCCAGAATCCTATCCAATAGCTGAATGTATAAAAAGAGATTTAAAATGAATTAATTCCTAAATTTCCACTATGATAAAACCTCTATGGTTGTAAAGTACTCAATTAAAGTGTCAATAATCTAGACCTTTTAAAGTTCCAAAAACAAAAACAGAAATTGCTGGAAATACTCATCAGGTCTGGAAGCATCTGTGGAGAGCCATCAGTTAAAGTTTTGGGCCCAGTGAACCTTCTTCATAACTGATGGTAACTAGGTACCGGTTGGTACGTAGAATTAGATTTAATTCGAATTAGATTTTATAGACATGCATATTCAAGTACAAGCATACAAGAGTATAGTGAAAAGTACACAATGTCGCCATGCCGGGTGCCATCTTAGGTACAAAAGGTACCGAGATACAAAATCTTAAGCACAAAGTAGAAAAATTTAAAAAATAGTTAAAAGCTGGGGTGGGGGGAGAGGAGGAGTAAACGATAGGAGGAGATAGAGCCCAAAGAGAGAGAGAGATTTTGTTGGAAAACAAAGGAGAGGTTAAAGGTCAGTCTAGGGAATGAATAGCTGCTAATGGAGGCTATTAGTAGCTGACAGTATGTACTTCTGTGGTAGCAGCACACGTGATGACACGGCCTGGTGTGTGGGGATTGGAGTAAGGACATAGCCTCAAGCCCTAAAGTTGTTGAACTCAATATTAAGTCCGGAAGGCTGCAGAGTTCGCAAGAGGAAAATGAGGTGCTGTTCTTCCAGAGATGGTAGGAACTGCAGATGCTGGGGAATCTGAGATAACAAGGTGTAGAGCTGGATGAACACAGCAGGCCAAGCAGCATCAGAGGAGCAGGAAAACTGACGTTTCGGGTCCGGACCCTGCGATTGCAGGGAAGGTGCCATGGAGCTGTGGGGACATGTTCGGAGTAAACCAGGATGTCTCGGATAGAAAAACTGAAAGGTCTGAAGGTAGATAAATCATTTGGACCAGATGGACTACACCCCAGAATTCTGAAGGAGATAGCTGAAGCAATAGTGGAATCGTTTGTGATGATGTTTCAGGCATCACTGGAGTCAGGGAGGGTCCCAGAGAACTGGAAAATCGCTAATGTAACTCAGGAACAAAAACAGAAGTTGCTGGAAAACCAGGTCTGGTAGCATCTGTGAAGAAAAAAATCAGAGTTAACGTTTCGGGTCCCATGACCCTTCCTCAGAACTGAGTTCCCCAGCAACTTTTCCAGCAACTTCTGTTTTTGTTCCTGATTTACAGCATCCGCACTTCTTTCAGTTTTTATTCATTAATGTCACCCCCCTGTTTAAGAAGGGAGTCAGGGAAAAAAACAGGAATTACAGGCCAATTGGACTGACCCTTAACTACTTCTTTGACTGTCTAACCGTTTTTCTCTCTCTATGGGCTCTATCTTAACCTATCAGTTACTCTTCTGCCTCGCTCCATCACATCTTCTGCAATAAAAAAGATGGCATCTGAAGATCAGTGACTTTGACATTGGTCGGGTGTAGACAGCAGCGAAGCATTGGAGAAGGGATGGTAGCACAGGCATTGCTGATGGTGATATGCTGGCTGAGGACTGATGGACTCTCTTCAAGCTGTATCTTTCTCTTTTTTCTTTATGAGTAAATTATTTGAAATTGTGCTGAATTGTGGCGGCAGATGAAAGCTTTTCACTGTATTTTATTGTATTCTGAATATAAAATACACAAGACAATAAATCATTCATTCATTCATTCATTCGTTCGTTCATTCATTCATTCATTCATTCATTCATTCATTAAATAGCAACTTTTCTCAGCTACCATCTGAAGAAGGGTCACTGGACCCAAAATGTTAACTTTGATTCCTATCCACAGATGCAGCCAGACCTGTTGCATTTTACCAGCAGTTTGTATTTTTGTTTCTGATTTCTAGCATCTGCAGTTCTTTTGGATTTTCCCTTTAAAATCTCAATGGTTGATACCCCAAGGCACTTGAAACCGCTTAAGCTGTGTAAACCAATACTGTGAAACTGGTACCAGAGATCAGACAGCTAGTTCAATCAATCTGGGGTACAACTGTTTCAACAATCTAATGGTTGGCAGAGCTCTCCGTCAAAAACACATACTGAGGCCTAGCTGAGAACCCAGACAAAGAAGAGCTGAAACATCTGAGCTCCCACTTAATTGACTGTTCTGGCTATCTGATCTCTAGCATCACTTTCACAATGTTTGTTTGCAGAACCTTGTATAGGAAATATGGAGAAAATAAATTACAGTTAGCAATTACTGAATTCTTGCAATTTTGCAGCATGTCATTGAGCTGCGGTTTATTTCTGGAACTTAAGTCCCTTGCAGGAAGGGACTGAATGTAGTGGGTGTTGTAATTGCTAATAAATCATTGACTTGTGTAACCTCATTTGCTGGCCAATTTATTGCCAATGGAGTCTTGTGAAACTTACATATCTAAGTATATGACCGGGAATTAAATACTTACATTTTTGCACGTACATGTTTCCCCCCAACCCTGCCCCACAACCCAACCTCCAATCCATTCCTGACATAACTTCTGACCTTTCTCTGGCCCAACTTTCAATCTCCCTCTGACCAATTCAGACTTGCTTCCGACTTAGACCCATCTTCAACCCAGACTTCATTTATCGAGTGTTGCAGCAAAGTGTTTTTTTAATTTTTGGCTGACTGGCTCATTGATACTCCTATGTTTATATCAAAACGTAGAAAATTACAAGAGGTGCAACACTGAGACATCTTAGGTTTTGCCATTCAGGATTGTACCTCTGCACACCCTAATTTGTATCTCCGTGTCTGTTGTATCTCAGTGTCTGTTGTTAATAATAATGTATTTCCACTGACACCTGTTGCAGCTTCCAGGTCAATGTGTATATAACTCATCAAGCTACACTCCATGTACAAACCTCCAAGCCAGATGTATACATTGAGCTACAAATCCTAGATAGGAATGAAGAGGTAGCCAAAGCAACTGGAAAAGGCCATACTATAATTCCTTCATTCCTGTTTGCCTCAAATACAGGACGTTCTACTAATCATGGTGAGTATGGCACCAGAACTCTTCAATTTGCTTTTATTCTTTTATCTCTTTTTCTCTCACCCTCTTTTTCCTTCTCCACCCTTTTAAGTTTCTCTCAAATAACAAGAGATAGTTTTAAGCGATCTAAGGTGGAAGTTACCCCCTCTGTGTATTATAGAAAAAATAGATTAGAGATTAGTTTACACAGTAGAAAAATCTCTTCCACTTCAAAATTTCTCGAGACTCATCTCCTATTAGAACAGAATCAAACAGTACAGAAGGACATCATTCAATGCATCAAATTCATCCTTCTCCCCTATTCCTGACCCATAGCCCTGCAAAGATCTGCTGTTCAATCACTAATCCAATTCTGTAGGGAAATTTCCAACTCAATCTGCTTCCACCATCATTTCAGTTGGTGTATTCCTAATCTTAATAATTCATTGCATAAAAATGTTTTGCTTCATCTCACTGATCTTCATTGACTCTTCAAGATTTATTCTTCAGGAAATTAAATTTTCCTCAGTAACAGAAAGTGTTAAGATCAGATACTTATTTTTGATTTACCCAGTACAAACCTTCATACATATGCTGACAAAAATTTAGAAAGGATAGATCCTGCCTAACCGATCTCAGGGACTGTTTTGAGAAAATTACATCTTAAATGGGTAGTATATAACATTTTATGATTTACACCTGGACTTTCAGAGCACCATCTTTTCACAGTTCTCCAATGTTATCCACTAAACAAACAAAAAAGACAAGAACATTAATACCAATACATCAACTACAATTTTTTAGGCTTGCATATTATGAGTGTATAGTTACAGAATCATATAGTACAGAGATATTATACCTATGAAAATGATCCAATTATTCCTGCTTCCTTTTTCTTGCCTCTTAACCTTGAAACTTATATCCTTTTCAAGTATATATTCAATTATTCACTTGAAAGATGTTGTAAGTGTGTTTACAAATGTATGTGGAGCATGTCTTGGTAAGCGGAACGGTTTATTGAGCTATATACAGGACAGGGAGAGACCCTGCATGACTATCTTGGAAGTCCTTCTACACACTGAGTGCCACATCACCCAGCATCACTTTATCATTAGCCATCCTGTGGCTACATTATACCACACCTCCCCCTAAATATTCATCCTGAATGTTTATGTTGCCAATCATTAATGTGTCTACATTTTGCCATAATTAATGTGTTTACATTTTCCCTCCATGCTTACATATCTATTCATTATTAATTTGGACCCCACTCCCCTCTCAATCAAGTGTCTTGTGATGAGGCTTCAATATCAACCATGTGTTCGCGCTTCCTGGAGGATAGGCAGTACCAGTGCTTGGTGTGTCCTTCCTCCTTGGGACCAAACATGAATTAAGACTGTTCTTTTTTCCTTTGGCCAGCATCTCATTGTAGATCATGTGCTGCTTTTCCTGGTGTGATGACATTTTATTACATTTCTCTCCCACCTCCCATCATTATCATTTGGTGAAATCTAACTGGTTTGAGTACGGTGTCGCCATGCTGTCAGTTGTGGGATAAGAGGTAATTGGGGGCCTTCTTCCAATTCCTTTAGCAGTATTAGTGTGCCATTTTAATGGCAGAACTGTTCTTTGGAACACCCGCTGCTCTGGAACCATTCACTGTTGCTGGGGTTGTGACTATTACCTCCTGTAGAGTGGTGATTTCCTCAGGTACATGCCCTGATTGACTGGCAGACTCTTCTGCTCCCTGTTAGTTGGATTGTGCCTCAGTCCTTGCAGGGGGTAAGTGGTCTGCATACATCTGAGTCTCCGTCTCCTGGTGACCGCCTAATCTGCTCCCACTGATTTGTTTGTAAGGCTCCTCCTCCCTTAAGGTCTTTTGAATGCTGCAAGAGCTCTGCAGAAATACTCTTGTGTGTTTTTCGCATGCCTATCTCTGGTATCTTTTGGGTTCATGCAGGAGTAGTCATTTTGTTGTGGTGTCTTTCAAGCACAGTTTCAGTCTTTCTGTTCTCTAGGGTGGATTTCCACTTCTGGTAGATCTTCCAAGGGTTTGGTCACCCTATTTCTGTTGTCACAAAGTGGTTCCTCTTGGCTTTTGCCGTGGAATTAGACACTGCCATCATCCAAGTTTGCTTGTTGCTTTCACTGGGTTCTAGGACTTCCTTACTTGAGGCACTACTTAGAGTGAAGTTGTATGCTGATCCTTTCAATTTTTCTTTGGTTGAATAGGTTTGTTATGCAAAGGAACATTTTCAATATTCTTGGGTTCCCTGGATGGCCCTGTTGCTGCATTGGGTTGTGCTATTTTAATTTGGTACTTGCTCCCCACTCCACATTCTCTTACAGAGCCATGCAAAGTTGAGCGTTTCTTCCTGATTTGTGGTATCATGGAGGATAGCCCATACAGTCTCCTGGAAGAGCAGTGCAGTGTCCAAGATCTCATCCTCCGCATGGTTGATGCATTTAGTGTTGCTACGATCTGTGTTTCCATTCACCTGAAGGGTTGCATACAGTTTGGGACATCTCCCTGTAGCTGCCAGTGTAGAATATTGCCTACAGAGGTTGTCCCAAAGCATTCTGCACCCGGTAGGGTTTTCTCTGCTTCCATTGATTGAAGAAGCTGTTGCGCTGTGCACGGTTCCCTGTTCAACTAAGAGTAACATTGATTCAGAAGAAGGTAACAGGTCTGTGAAATTTCACTATTCCTGTTTTGTAGCTCCCATTGCCTAATTAGCTGCCCTAATTTTAACAATATAATGTCCTCTCTGGATTGCAGATCTCATTGCACATCTCTCTCAAGGAACCATAGTTGTAATTGTCTGTAAAGCAGTGTAAGTTATTCACAAATGAGTTACATTATTTTCTGGGAAGGAGGGGCCTCATGGTATTATCACTCGTCTATTAATCCAGATGTTCAGTTAATGTTCTAGGAACTCAAGCTGAATCCCCCCAATGAAAATGGCATTTGAATTCAATATAAAATAAATGGCATTAAGAATCTTCTGATGACCATGAAACCATTGTCCATTGTCAGAAAAATCCATCAGGTTCACTAATGTCCTGTTTGTTTACCTCTTTGTCTGTGATGACTTTTCCTCCCATTTCACTGTATTGCTGCTTTGTTATCCTGTCCCAATTTAGTGTCAAAATGAAACCACTGCCAGTGCTGCTGTTAAGCTTTGATTAAAATTTTTGCACCAGTGCTGGGCACCATTGATTACTCTTCCCATTACTCCCAGAAAGGTTTTCCTTTATGCTTATCTTCTGCCATCACATTGTAAGTGTGCTTCAAGATGAATATGGAACATCGAAGGGAGAGATCCCTGCATAAATATCTTGGAGTAAGCCCTTCCACACACTGACTGTCACATGACCTGATATGTCATTAGCTATCCAGTAAGTGATTAGGAAAGCATATGGCCTGTTGGCACTTCTTACAAGTTGCTGTTGAATATTGTTCCACGTCTTTCAGGCAGTACAATGTTGATAATAATTAGTTTATATTTATTTCTAGTACCTTCACGTAAACCTTCTGAAGTTCCTAATACTTTGGGAGCGTCCAAAAAATTGGGAAGCACTTCAAGTAACAAGACTGGAAGGAGTTCTGCTAAGTTAGCAAGTGAACAAAAATCACCTGTTTTATTAGATGAGAACACACTTCACATGGAGGTGGAACAATCATTGGCAAAAGTGGTAAGCATTGCCATGAATTAATAGGTTTATAACTTGTCACCTCTGAATAATAATACTTAAGGCTTCAAGTGCACTACAGCAAGTATCATGAGTGGCCTTAACACTTTCTCCAATTGAAATTTTGGAAGAACAAAGTCATAACCACCAGTACCAAACATAGAATCTGCTCAATGTGTTAATATCCCTTACGTTGGCCACTAACTCATACAAAACCAAACTGCAAAAAGCATTGGTGTCCTGTTCAATTCTGAACTAGGCTTCAAGTCTCACAAGCTATTTGTTACTGAGACTGTTTATTTCAACCTTGCTCCCCCAACTTTTGTCGAATGCAATCTTTCACAGCTGGACTCCTTATGCCAAAGATTCCATGAGTAATTCATTGCATCTCCTGTTGCCTCTCTGAAATGTCACCCCGCACAAATGTAGCATCAAATACGGCAGGGAATGTAATTGGGAATATTGGATTTAGAGGCAGGACATTCAATCATCCCAACCTACTATGCCTTTAAATAAGATAATAGCTGATCTGGTTGTAGTCTCAACTCCAAATTTCTGTCTACTTCCAACCTCAATATCCCTTGACCATTATCTATCAAAAACATACCTTAGGCTGCCTTGAATAAATTCAGTGACACAGCCTCCACAGCATTCAAGAAAAGGGAATTCCATATACTAGCTACCTTCTGAGAGAAAACAGTTCTCAGCTCTGTCTTAAAAGGGAGGCCATTTTTGTTAAACTGTATCCACAAGTTATAGCTTACCTCACAAAAGACAATATCTTCCAGGTATGCACCCAGTTAAGCCCTGTCAGGTTCTAATCATATTTCGTTCTTCTAAACTCCAATGGGCATCGGCCCAACATGTTCAACCTTTCTTCATAAGATAATAGGATCCCTATAGTGTGAAAACAGGCCATTTGGACCATTAAGTCCACACCGACCCTCCAAAGAGACCCCACCCAGACCTACTCCCCTACCTTATAACCCTGCATTTCCCGTGCTAATCCACTCAGCCTGCATATTCATGGACACTATAGGCAATTTAACATGGCCAATCCATCTACACACACGTCTTTGGACTGTGGGAGTAAACCCACACAGACATGGGGAAAATGTGCAAACTCCACACAGACAGTTACCTAAGGGTGGAATCGAACCCAAGTCCCTGGCACTGTGAGGCAGCAGTGCTAACCACTGAGCCACCATGCCACCCATAAGATGAGTACTTCATCCCAAGAATGAGTCAATGGAACCTTCTTTTCATGGCATCTCACATAAAATCTTTTTTTTCAACTAGAGAGACCTATTCCAGATGTGATGTCACCACCAAAGTACGGCTACTTTTATTTTCCATTCCCCTTGTAATAAGTGCCAACAGGCCATTTGCTTTCCTAATCACTTACTGGTCTGCATACTAACACTTAATAATTCAGGCACCAGCACACTCAAAACCCTCTGCACCACCGAATTCTGTAATCTTTCTCCTTATAACAGTTTACTGTTCTTCATCCTGCCAAGTAGACATATTCACATTATCCCACATTGCACTCCATCTGCCACATTTGTGTCCACTCACATAACCTGTCTATATTCCTTTGCAGACTGTCTCCCTCCTCTTTGTGTTCCTGGCAAATTTAGCTTTTCTTTAATTCACTCAGGGGATGTGGGCTTCTCTGGCTAGGCCAGCATTTATTGTAATCCCTAATTGCCCAGAAAGCAGTTAAGAATCAACCACACTGCTAGGGATCTGGAGTGACATGTAGGCCAGACCAGTTAGGATGACAGATTTCCTTCCCAAAAGAGCATTAGTGAATGAGTCGCTTTTTTCCGACAATCAACAATGAATTCATGATTATCATTAGACCTTTAATTACAGATTCTTTATTGAATTCAAATTCCACATCTGCCATGGCAGGATTTGAAACTGGGACCCCATACCAATAGCTGTGTTTCTGCATTAATAGTCTAGCGATAATACCAATAGGCAGTTGCCCCCTCTACCGTACAGTGTCAGTAATATAGATATCGATTGTAAATAGTCGAGATCCTGATTCCTGTGGTGCTCCATCGAACAAAACTGAAACAGACCATTTGATCTCTTCTTCTGCTTCTTGTTAGCTCACCAATCCTTTAACCGTGATAATATGTTACACCCTTGCATCATGTGCTGTTACCTTTGATGTGACACCTCATCAAATGCCTTTTGGAAATCAAAGTACACCACATCTAAAAGTTTCCTTTCATCTTGTTACTTGCTCAAAGGATCCTAAAAAGTTAATTAAACATGACTTCCCTTTCATAAAATCATGTTGACTCTGCCTTTTCACATTTTTAATTTCTAATTATCCTGCAATAACCTCCTTAATGATGCATTTCAATAATTATGATAAATAAAGTGTTTACTGAAGTTGAGTTATTAAATATACAAATTTATCAATTGTATCACTTCACTTGAGTGAGTATTTGTAGTGCATTCTTTGAAGTGGTATCCCTGTTTAAATGGTCGATTTTGAATTTTTAGAAATAGGAAAAAATCTTGTGTTTTGTTGTACTTTCCAGAACTTTTTTGAGATTCCAAAGCACATTACTGATCATTTTTATTTTAAAAGTATGTCATTGTTGTAACATGGGGAAATACATCAGCCAATTTGTGTATAATCTGGTTATACAAACAGCCGTGAGATAATGATCTGTTTGGTTGAATAGGATAAATCTTCACCAGAACATCAGGGAGCACCACTCTGCTGTTTTTCTAAGAAGTGCATTGAGATCTTTTGCATCCATCTGAGGGGGGTTTCGCCTTAGTTTAGCACCTCACTAGAAAGTCAGCACATTTGATATTTTTTAATACTACACTAGAAAGTCAGGCTAATAGGAGGATAAAGTTATGTTCTATGAATAATGAGGAGGTGAACGTCTGCAGTGGAACTTTTCCAATTTCCACATTAACTTTGCTAGAAATAAGTACAGCCAGGCCAGGCCAAAAATACAGGTGGTGAGCAGGAGAATTCAATGTATGAATTCACTCTATCTGTTCCCTTGAATATTATCACTTATTGCAATTTTAACCTTTTAATGGAGAAGAAATAATAATATATTGACGTAGTTTTTGCTGTGCCACATAATTGGATCTCATCTGACTCACCGAGTAATTGAAATTTTGTAAATTTTATTCATTTGTAAAAATGAAGGGTTTATGCACAAATTGCTCACCCCAGTCAGTTGCCTCATTATTAATATTATATTAACAATCTGGCATCCCACAGGTTCACAAATACACTATTAAAGCATCAGTTCTTTACAAAACCTGGCCACTAACTGAAAGTGAATTAACTTTTGCTGAATCGCAGAAGGATATGGACATCGAAATTGCAGGTAAAGTGACACATTGTCATTCTGTTCATTTACTTGGTGGAATGGATGTGTATTGCAAAATGCCATGTAACAGCTAGTTTAAGTCCTGCGTTGTTTTTGTTTGTGTAGCGTACAATCGTGCAAAAACAGGTGAAATCTATATCTCCTGTCTGTTGGTAATTTATAAAACAAAATCCAATTTACCAGTCCTATTGCAGCTGTAGGCTCTCTGACACAGCTTGTTAAAGTGACATTTCCATCTGTTCTTCAGCTGTTTCACTGAAAGGCCATTTTGCATTAGCAATCACTCGCTAACGAGTATGATTATCCACCTAGGAAATTCTGTGTCACTGGTTAAGGATTCTATTGATCTTTGCATAGCTGATGAACCCAATCCTAGAACCACTTCTCTGACCACATATTTGACACATGTTTTCAGGAGGTGGAATTGGACCTTGGCCTTGAGATCATTGATATTCCTTTCTCCAGATCCTTTTCCATACTTACTCTTGTCACTGGATGTTCTCAAAAATTCATAGAATCCCCATAGTGTGGAAGCAGGCCATTCAGCTCATTGATTCTACACCGACCTTCCGAAGAGCATTCCAACCAGTTTTATCATGCTTTGGGAGTTCTTTGAAGCATTCTTTCCATTGGAGGCTGATGTTTTCTTTGTCTCTTGAAAGGTTACCATCATTACTCCGCACCAGTTCGAGGCCAAGGGTGTTGGGTCCGTATATTGCTTTGGTGCCACTGAAGTCGAGTGTTGTGCTTGTCAGCAAGGAGTTGCAGTTCCTTGGCTTTCTCACCACTGCTTTTTATTTCCCTAGTTCTTCTTTGTAACTTGGATTTTGCTGTTTGATGAGAGCTCCTGGTTTGCTTTGCTGGTGGTGATGTATTGCCAGGCACAGAGAACTCTCCTGTTCTTGTCAATGAGATCTTGGATGATGAGGTCATTCTCATTGAACCAGTCTTGGTATTTCCTGGAGCCAATGGTTTATTCACAGAATGAGATGATGGCTGTTTTCAGCTTCTTCCAGATTACCTCCACTCCATTAAAATGAACTCTTTGGAGATTTTGGTGAAGACATTGTTCGATAGTCTGCTTGGCTGTTGAAGTATCTCAATGTTGAGATTTTTTTTCTGAACTGTTTCTTCATCTTCAGCTGCTCTGGGTAGAATTTTGATGGACTTTGGGGAGCAGATGAGCCGGCTTTCTATCCAGCACTAGTCTTTGCACTAGTCATTGCTTTGGTAATGAGGACATCTTTTAGGTTTCCCGATCGAACAATGGCACAGTTGATCATGTCCCTGTACTTTGATTATAGATGTCTCCAAGAAGTCTTGAATTTGTCTTTTTGGTAGAACAGTGTGTTAGTGATAAACAGCTGGTGTTCCGCACATTTGGTGAGCAGGAGAATCCCATTGGTGTTGCAATTCCCAACTCCTTCCTTTCCAGTGATTCCTTTCCAGAGTTGGGCATCCTTTCCAATCCTGGTATTGAAGTCTCAAAGGAGAATAATTTTATCTTCCTTAAAGAAATTAGTGCTACATTAAAATCTTATGGCAGTATGTTAAAATGGCAAAATCCAATTTACCAGTCCTACTGCAGCTCTAGTCTCTCTGACACGGCTTGTTAAAGTGACATCTTTCTACCCGTTTTTCCCCTCTTACACTGAAAGGGCATACTCTCACTGTCATCATGACCTTTTCTCCATCCCTTCAGTTCTTGTCTGCTACGGAATGCTCCTTTCACTATGAATTGACAATGTCTGTCATATTTCCTCCACTCTCATTCAAGTGCATGTGCTGTTCTCAATTTCAAGCTTGTCAATCACTCTTACCTCACTTACCATCGGTTGCACGGTTGCTCAGTGGTTAGCACTGCTGCCTCACACTGCCAGGCACCTGAGTTCAATTCCAGCCTTGGGCAGCTGTCTATGTGGAATTTGCATGTCTGCAAGGGATTCCTCCCACAATCCAAAGATGCGCAGGTTAGGTGGATTGGCCATGCTAAATTGCCCGTAGTATCTAGGGATGTAGGGGCTAGGTGGATTAGCCATGGGAAATGCAGGGATATGGTAGGGGTTTGGGTTTGGGTGGGATGCTGTTCGGAGGGTCAGTTGGACTCAATGAGCTGATTGGCCTGTTTCCACACTGTAGGGATTCTATGATTCCATTCTGAGGCTTCATTGCCTGTTTTCCCACTCTCATCCTCTGCCATCTTCCATGCTTGCTCACCTTGTGTCTGGTGTATCCTCACTATTCATCACCTACTTTTAACATGCCAATATCAATGTCCCAAAAGCTGTTTTTGAGCTGTTTGGTACTGTGCTTGCCCTGCCTTTTGTCCTACACTAAGACTAGTTTGTTCTTGATTCTTCATGTATCTCAAACTGCAATCAATTTGTTAGTTAACATGCTTACTACACTAAAAATAAGTTGCAATCAATAAGTGGATTGAAGAGCATATGGATTATGTGCATATGAGCACCAGCAGGGGAAGTGGAACAAATTGCAGGTGTGTAGGGGAGATTTGAGAGGAGAGGGTTTGAAATTAGGTAAAAGAGGTTAGGACTAATGAAAGCAAATGACAATTTGCTGTATCAGATAAAGTAGATTAGGGGTGATGAGGCACTTCTGGCCAGCCTCCCATTTTCTACCCTTAGTAAACCTCAGTTCATTCAAAACCCTTCCACCTGTAAATCCTAACGAAGGATTTCGGCCCGAAACATTGACTTTCCTGCTCGCCTGATGCAGAGTGACCTGCTGTGCTTTTCCGACCTCACACCTATTGACTCTGACTTCCAGCATCTGCAGTCCTTATTGTCTCCCCTCTCCACCTGTAACCTAACCTATACCAGCTGTTGTTCTCATGCCACCATTGTGGTGACTGACTTTTAAGGGTCTAGTCCAGCAATGCCTCGATGTAAAATCTTTCAAGTTTGCATTCAAATCCTGCCCATCCCCAATATTGTAAACTTATCCAGCCCCGATTTGCTCCAGGAGCTCTGCATTCATCCATTTCTAGCATCTTCTGCATTACTGATTTCCTTTGCGCCATACCTGAAAGCTGCACCTTTAGAATTCCTGTCATAAACCTCATCACCTCTCTGAATCCCTCTCCTCCTTCAAAACAAAATTCCTGTTTGATAGAGCTCCTCTGAAGCACCTTTGGATGTTTTACTGCTGTATCACAATACAAATAAAAATTATTGTTTTGAAGCGCTGTGGTGACTATGTTTGTTTTCTTTCTCAAATAAGATTTCCTGAATATTCTGTTATTTACATCATATACTAAGGCAGAGTTGGGCATGAAAAGCAACTATTTTGCATTTTGCTACTCAACTACAAGTGTACCACCTGTGATGAACAACATAAATGGAACAAATCCGTCCACCCTGATTTACAGTGATTTTCAATTGAAACTATTTGAGTGAAAAGCCTTGGAACATTGAAGCAATTCATCCTAGAAACAGACTGGAGTAATTTACTTGTCTGCATTTGATACATTGAATTATTTAACATGACTTCCATAGATTATGCAACTGAGGCTTTTTTGCATCTGTTCACAAACATTTTAGAAGTGTAGCAGACATCATATTCCAAAAGACACCAAGGACATTTCTCTGAACACACTTTCACACAAAACTGCCATGATTTCCAATGCTTATAGAACCCCACCTCTTTCTAGTCTTTCACCCCACATTTTTTTCCAGGCATTAAATTCTGTTCTATTGCTTCCAGTCACAGGTCTATTTCAAGCACCTGACCACTGCTCTTCCCCCATCCTCCATCCAACTTGCATTCCTATAAACTCAGGACTGCACCAACATTTCCGCTGACATCTCACTTCCATGTGCTCCTCAATTTCAATATCCCTCAGTTGTTTATTTTCGAAGAGGTTCACATTTCACAAGTGCAGAAATAGTGTAGTGATTGTTTCGAGCTCAGCCAGGTGGACCTCATAGAATATGTGTTCCCCAATTGGGGCTGTTAATCTGATCCAATCAGGAAGCCGTGGCGCTCAGATAAGAACAGGAGTGTCAGACATCCTACTCACTCTGAGAGCTGGCTCTGAGGAAACTGGAGCAGGGTCAAGGACTCTCCATGTTTAAATAAAGGAATACCGGCCTCCCTGGAGCTATTTTGAATAGCACTGGAGGGACTAAAGCTACTCCAAGGGAAATTCCTGACATGGTTTCTCAAGCTAATCAAACTGGTCATCTGCTCCAGTGGTTAGATGATTCACAATTGTTTCAAAGAAATAATAACCCGAGAAGATACACAATCTGTCTTTCCTACTTATAGTAATGCTGTGATTTTAAAAATACGTTGTTTCATGCTTAGGTCAACTTTATATTGAATCTATATATAATCGACATATAAAAATTTATTTTTACAACTTGATCATGCTTGGGCTTTATTTTTCTTAAGCTACAGTGCCATCTAGAGTATGAATTTGCCATTTTCTCTATCAGGTTTTTAATCAAGCTGCTGCTGGGGTGTCAGTTAAAATAACTCCAGTCCTTAGACATCACTTTTCGATCTCTTGCATGTCCTTTTTGTTTGATTGAGGGCTGCTGTGAGACTCAAACAAAACTGAAGAGAAACCAAGCAGAACCTGCCAAGGAATCTGGCTAGTTTTAATGCTTGTATCCTTGAAGTTGGTTGGTATGACTTAATTTATTTTAAGCATTTGAAGTGGTCACATTTTTAAGAGGGCTTTAGGCTGGGTATCTGGTATTGACACCCCTGCCTCCAGCTTCCATCAGCAATCTAGGGTCCTTGTTGAGATGGAAGCATGCATGTCAGCTAACTGAAAGGTAGACGTCTCCTACAAACTCAATCCAGCATATTTTCCAAGATCGCAACCCTACCAGTTTATGTTGTTTATATCTCCACATGATGACTGCTATGTATAAATATAGAAAATCTTTGATTTGAATAGGAAATTACAGTGGCTTATTGTTCCAATTAAATATCCAATTACTAATGTATAACGATTTCAGAGATAGTAGGTACTGCAGATGCTGGAGAATCTGAGATAACAAGGTGTAGAGCTGGATGGACACAGCAGGCCAAGCAGCATCAGAGGAGCAGGAAGGCTGACGTTTCAGGCCTAGACCCTTCTTCAGAAATGGGGGAGGGGAAGGGGGTTCTGAAATAAATAGGGAGCGGGGGGAGGCGGATAGAAGATGGATAGAGGAGAAGATAGGTGGAGAGGAGACAGACCAGTCAAAGAGGCGGGGATGGAGCCAGTAAAGGTGAGTGTAGGTGGGGAGGTAGGGAGGAGATAGGTCAGTCCAGGGAGGACGGACAGGTCAAGGGGGCAGGATGAGGTTAGTAGGTAGGAGATGGGGGTGGGGTTTGAGGTGTGAGGAGGGTATAGGTGGGAGGAAGGACAGGTTAGGGAGGCGGGGACGAGCTGGGCTGGTTTTGGTGCCACAGCGATGCTACCCGAAGGTTGCAGGAACAGCAACTCATATTCCGCTTGGGAACCCTGCAGCCCAATGGTTTCAATGTGGACTTCACAAGCTTCAAAATCTCCCCTCCCCCTACCGCATCCCAAAACCAGCCCAGCTCATCCCCGCCTCCCTAACCTGTTCTTCCTCCCACCTATCCCCCCCTCCC